CGGAGAAAGAACACCGTGTCCAACTGATATCTCAAGAGAAAAATGCAAGTGTTATGCAAGACATGAAACCAGTCACCCCAGCCCGGGTAGAGATCATTAGCTGAGGAGCCGGTGGTCTCCAGCAGTGAGTTGCCTCTCAAGAGTCAACATCAGACACAGGCTGGAACCGACTGGTCAGGACTGAACTGATACAGCATAGGTGGCTCTCCAATATTAGTTATTAAATGATGCTTGAAGCAAAGTAAAGTGCAGTGGTGTGCACTTAACAAGCTGCTGGATAGGGTCAATATAGACAGACAGCAGGGGGCCAATGAATACCATCCACTAGTCTGCATGTACACATACTGGCCTCCCACTTTTGGAACAGTAGTCCACTGTAAACAGAAGAGAAGCATCTCACAGAACACTTTTCTGATGCCACAACAACCTCAAAGGAGACTTTGAAACTGGAGTCAATCCTCAACAATCCTTGCTTTCCAAGATTAGAGGAACACAACAAAACAAGTGAACTGTAGTCACTCCAAAGGGCAGAGGGTTCATCCTCTGGACCACATCCTAGCAAGCTACCCAGGTGCTTTTTCAGATTACGCTGACTGTCAGCACATCAGGAATTCATCATACAACGTCATCTTGTCAGATGCTGGACAATGCTGCAGGTTCCAGTCTTCTACAATTGGTAATAAATGGGAAAAATATTCAAGGCACAAGAAACATTGATGTATTATTTCAAAGTGCCTTTCAAGACCCCCAAGGTCACTCTACAATAATACAGAAACAAAAATGATGAACTATGAAATATCATCAAAAACACTAAAAATGAAACCAAAATAAGTAAAATAACAAAAATCATGCAGTCAAGTAGCACTGCTGGATGTTGTCAGCATTAAACATTAAAAACAGCCTTAAAAAGATGGCTCTTTAGAGCAGCTCTAAAAGTTTTAAGTCAGCTCATTGTCCTTAGATTGTTTGGGAGCTTGTTCCTAAGTATAGGGACAGCACTGCAAAATGCTCGGTCACCCACAGTCACTAACCTAGCATCTGGCACCTACAAGAACAGTGGATGTAGAGCCAAGGTTTTAAAGTGGGGGTTAACAAGAGATTAAATTAGTCCAATATGTGGGTGCCTGGCCGTGTAACACTTTAAATTGAATAGGACAGGCAACTGGCAGCCAGTCCCGTTGTCTCGTGTTGTCTCAGTTGTTCACCTCTGCACACACCTGGGTAAGAGCAGAATGCAAACTGGTGACGTTTCAAAGGTGAAAGAATGGTGTATGGGGAGATATAGTTTACATGATCCTTAAATGATAAAGTATTATCTAAAATATCACCAAGGCTCATAAATTTAGTGAAACAAGGAATAACACAGCCTCACAGAAAGGCACAGAGCCAGACTGGCGCTCTAACCCAGAACCTTTTTGCTGTGAGATGACAGCGCTAACCACCTCACCACCTTCAGCAAGGTTTAGCACCATGTAAAGCCATGTATCATCAGCATAGCAATGATACCATACAAGATTAAGTCAATCACCTGTTCAGCAGCCCAAGGACCAGAACAAAACTATACTTCACTCTCCAACACTTGTCAACAATGTGGCTGCTTGTGGACAATGTTGTGTCCAACAGAAAGCTGTGTAGCTATTCTTTGGCACAGAACAATGACAGAGAGAAGAACGCAGCTGTGGAACACAGAAAGGCTTCTTTACTGTCTGCTGCACTGGACCACCACTTACACACTCAAAGCCTGCCTGGGGACTACATACCTCCAAAAAACAAAACACAAACCTAGCACCTTCTACATGCTGGAACAGACGGCGCCATGACACAGTACATTCTTTTAAATTTGTACCAATTCATCTTCCTTTATTTTCTTGTACACTACAGCAAATAATGGGATTTGTCTTTTCAATGGTACAATTATGGTGGAAGACAGACGGACAGAGCAGCACATTAATAGTGCTCTCTAATGGAGACACGTGTCCTGTCAGGAGGAACAAGTGAAGACCAAGCTCTTGTTTGAAACTCGTTACAACGTGGAGGTAAAAAGAAGTAGAAAGAAAAGCCCGGTTCTCCTTCATCCAACCGTTTGAGACTGCTTGATTTAGAAAAAAAAAATAAAATAACTGATTATGGTGAAACACTTGAAAACATTTCTAAAATCCCATCTTGTCTATAGATGCAACATAAAGTCTGCCTCGCTCTGCAATAAAGGAATCCACTGAAATCCGAAGGCAAATAACTCTCACAAGAGACTTGGCAACATCAGCCTACTGCATTTAACAAGGGAGTCTGGACAGCAAAGACTACAGACAGCTGCAGCATCACTGTTACACAGTGTGGCTGCATTACAGGGTTTTTATGGGAGAAGGCCACTTTTACATCAGAGAGTGATTCAAGATCTAACTGTACAAATGTAATAAAGGGGAAAGCCAGGCTTAATCAATCACTAACATGCATCTGAATTGCTTATCAGCTTTGTAATCTCCTGATCAACTAATAGCTTCAGTGCTAAAATACTGAGGTTAACATTTGTACAGTTTAATGAAAACACTGAAGTGTGAGCCTTCATTTTACTCTGCAGAGCTTCTGTTCAGCTTCAACAAATATGAAATATCCAGAGGCAATCAGAGGGTTTTTTGTGTGTCTGGTTTGACTCTGTCAGCCAACACTAGTATGCAAGTAACAAGTCTAGCATCGTGTAAAACACACAGTCATTATGTCATAAAGAATAAAAACAGATTTTACAACAAACCAAAGTTAGGAATGAGTTAATACAGGACTGAATGGCCTGTGTTAGTACGATCACACTAGGCTCAGTGTGTTAGTCAACAAACATAACACTACACTACACTGTCTTCAGTATTTACTTTGCAAATGAATAAAGAATTTTGTGTTAGTGGGCTGGGAATGAATAATTCACAAAGAACATTTATGAGGGTTACGTTATGTGCATTTCAAGAAATCAACTGTTTGGTAAAACGCTTCTGTACATGCATGAAGAACAAAGTCGTGGATTGTACAAAACACCAACACATTAACATATGAATGTGTAGACATTCTTTCATGTGTAGCCACAACAGTCGCTACACTGCCTCGAGTTGGTCTAACATTTGAGCTCTTTGAGATGCAGAGTTAAAGAGCGCAGAAACAAGCCAGAGGGGCGCAACGCTAGTTAAAGCTCGACCACACAAAGACAGATAGATCGGGAGAAAGAGGGTGAGGTCTCTGTGCAGACATGTCACACAGGTGGGCTCAGATTACCACCCCGAGGACACATCTGTGAACACCAAAGCCGTTCTGCTGGGTGCTGCACAGCATGGTTGTTTTGTCCCACACAGTATCAAGGCTGCTGTTTGGGTAACAAATTCTGTAGCACTGCAGCAACACCTCCCAGAGTTGTAATATTTGAGTCCAGCCTCCACTTTTCTTTTCTTGGTCTCTTGCCTGCTGTGGTTTGGATTTAACTGGATGCTACTCAGCATTTTACCCCAACAACTAGTTGATCCACTTTTATTTTCTTGCCAGCAGCATTTGCAGCAACCGTGTGAGAGGGTCCTCAAACATCTGTTTATTAGTTGAATGCTACAGAATACTGTGGTTTCTGCAAAATATGCATACATATGTCTCTCCAGTGAGTACTTGGTTTGGTTTAGCCCATTTACTGTATGTGACATATGGACAAAAAAGTGAAGCGTAGGAGTGGTTTAATAGACTTAAATGGGTGCCCTCACATTTTTCATCATTGGAAAAAAGTAAACTACAAACTTCTCACTGTCACCTTTTGAAGCTAGAACTAGGATGGCATCACTAAGTGGTGCCACAAGTGCAGTTTTTATTTCGCTGCATCTCATCATGTTACTGCAACTTCACTCACTGAAAATCTTCTGCAGCTATTAATGGTCCAAGTCTGTGTCACAAATTCTACTCTGGCTTGTTTATGAAATATTCAGGTCACACTGGACTCACCATACAAGCTGCTGACTGAGAAAAATACCGCTAGCATCCCAGTGGTGAGATTTTGTGTACAAAATAATGTCTCATTTGGCAGCAGAAAACACAGCCATGGCATTACTGTCAAATACAAAGAGAGAATCTTACAGACACAGACAGCTTTACAGGTGGAACAAGAACTGACAGTCAGCTCATTTATGGCCACTTTCAAAAGGACTGAATAAAAATGACATTGACTAAAAATCTCTGTCAGATGCAGCATTAGTCTTAACCTGCCACAGCCCAAACAAAACATCAGCAGTTTATTCACCTCGACAGCAGCTTAGGGTGACACACAGTAGCTTCATTACAACAGGAAGACAACACCTGACGCTCAGCACCAGCAGTGACGCTGCAAACCTGACACCCTAAGGTCGTTGGGAGTAAATCTACTCCACAAATCAACTATCGCCTTTCTGCACACGACCTGTTTACTAAAGCAAGGTGTGAAGACAGCAGCATCTGGATCAAATGCACTGCAACGAAGATGCACGAAGTCCGATTAAATGACTCTGCTACATGCAACAATTCACTACTGAAGCCATAAGCGGCTTCTTTCCCAAACTGGAGAAATGTCAACAAACACCTCCAAGATACTGTGCTCGCTTTTCCTCCGTGCCTTCTTAAACCAACTTTCTGCTGCTGAAGGAACGCCGAATTTGACAGTGGATGCACACTGAAAGGATGAAATGAGAAATGTCTGGTCCTGCAGGTTAACCAGCTGTACGTCCATCGCGACTCAGGCTACATGACTGTCTGTACCCCCGCATCACTGCTATCTGACTGAATTAATCGACACCAGATGCGTGTTTACAGAAACCCGGGTTGTCGGCCTAGTCCACCGGACCACACCGACCACCCCAGTGCGCCAGTGTCCATCACCTCTGATAAACTTGTATGATTGAGTGACGCGGTCATGCGTGCAGAAGGCGCTAGGACCATGCGGAAACATGATCCAGACGGTTTATCCTTCACATGACTGAGACGATGCGCGTCTCCGTGTCCTCACATACCTGTCACCGTCACCGCCACCGTCGGGATCTGCCTGCTTCCATCCCAACATAGAAATCTTCACGGTGCCCATCCGTGCCTCTCAACCCTACCGCCTCTCCAAGCTCTGTGCGTCCACGGCCCATGCGTGTTGTTTCCACACCGCCGAGAGGGGCGGAGCCCCCGGGCCCTGGAGACGGCGTGTAAGTGGACCGTGAGAATGTCACTTATGTATCCAGAGCCAATCAGCTGCGGCTCACCTCTAATCAACATTAGTGCCTGAGACGCACAGTAGTAGCCTGATAAGTGTTTTAGTTTTAACCTGCGAGTACACACTGAAAATATACATAGGAACCCACAGAATCAGGTGTCTTAAAACCCACCACACTAATAAAGTGCTCACTGGTGCAGTCTGTGCATCTCCTGCACACACAGACATCTTTTCATCAGTGTGAGCACATAAATGATACAAATGTGAATTAAACAATCAAAAACAATCATAATTTAGACAGCTAGATCAAGGCCAAGATCCCAAAGAAAACCTGGGAACTAATGGGCATTTTTAATATGAAACAGGTAAAATGCAGATTACTATTGCTGATTAATTAACCTTGTTCAACAGAAGGTGTATTAAAACTATCCATGCTAAATGGTTTTATAAAACTGAACTTCTTATGCAGGACTATTTACAAACCAAATCTGGTCTTCCTTGAAAGAAGTTGCAATGTTAGTTTGACTAACACAAACACCCAATCAAATGATAATATCTCCTTTTAATATTCAATGTACATGATTTTACAAGCTGTGACAACAGAGGTTGGTCATGGTAACAGGGTTTACTCTACCCCCTACTGGCATGACATGAAATCTTCTGCTTTAAAGGAAATTCAACATCTCTGCTGAAAACTGAAACATTAGTGTGGTACAAAGGCATTTTACTAAAAACAGAATACCAAAAAGGTAAGGGACTGTAGATTTTTTACAGTCTTTATCCATACACAAAAACTCTAGTGAGGAATAAGCTCAAAATACAGACATGGTCTTTTTAAACCTCCAACTAGCAGGACTGCAGACTTGCGCATAAACTACACAGCTTCAAATATACAAAAAGATAGCAAACATCTACAAGCACATACAGTATTTACAGCAGGAGTCTCTTCTCTAGTAACCTTGAGGAAGCCCAGCCAGCATTCAGAAGAAATGTCGTTTTTTATTTTCACTAAGAAAAGGTTCTGGTGATGTAAAATAAAGTCTGAACACACGTTTATAACCCCCAAAACTGTTAACAGCAATCAATGTAGAACTAGATAATGCCCTCCCCCTCAGTTCCAAACCAACCTCTACCACCTGCCCCTGTGGAAAGGTGAGCACCCAAACCCTGGCCTCCCATTTGCGAACTGCCTCCCTTCCATGCCATCCATCCCCTCTGGTGCCATAGAAGGATGTCGAAGGAATGGAGGGCCACGAAGGGGGAAGGGCATGGGCATTCTAAACCTGTCTGGTGGAAACATCATTTGTGGGGGCATGGGTGGCATGTTTGTAGGTGCCATGAATGGAGATAGAGGAGGGCTTGCCATGCCGGGAGGATGCAGACGCGGCATACCTAGCCTCGGACCCTGCATGATTGCCGAGCCTGGCAGGGCCATCGATGATGCTGGAGGAGACCCCAGCTGGTTGTCACTGCCTGCATCTGATGCTGTACCTTTGTCTCCATTAGAATCCTTGCTGGACTCCTCTCGAGGTTTTATACTTCCTGCTGGAAAACAAAGTACAATAAGATTTTATAGATCTCCACTGGGAAATTAGGTATTATAACATTAAACTAAGAACTGTGGCAACATTGCTGTGTAGACATGTTCATGTTATCATCAAGTCCAAAGAGAAGTTACTTTTAATCAGCATGATAGCATTTACATCTCCCCTTTAGATGACGGTTCAAAAATCCACAGTGTTTTCTTATACTGTATATAAATGTCTTACCAGGTGCCAACTTCATAGGGCCAAACTCTGTGGGGATGAAAGTGGGTCCTCCTGGAGGCATGGTTGTAGGGGACAGCATGATGGGCCCATGAAAACCAGGTGGACTTCCAATAGGTGGTGCCTGTTGAGCCGGTGACACCTGGAAAACACAGAAACAATCCCAATTAAAATTCAAGTAGAACATGCAAAAAAAGCCTTCCTGAATTCTGTATTAACATCTTCTGATTCCACAGCGTGAAGCAGCTTCTTGACTGCAGCTCATTTGTGTTTATCTTTGTCACATACGTAGAAGGAATAAATTGAGCATTTTGCACAGTATTTCAGAAAATGTCTGGTAAAGTCATTAATAGAGTTTAATACATTATCATACTCCAAATCTAGACAACCTGTAAAAATCACACACTCATAACTGCAAGATTTGTATGGCAAGTCTTTATTCATTTGATACCATTTGGAACAATCTGTAATGAAGTTGACAACATTTTATTTTGATTGTACTGCATCTATAAACACACTGGGGTGATGGAACATGGAGCAAACCTTGCTGAAATTCAGGTCAGCCGAGTCACCCTAACCCACAGACAAACACAGTTACATATATTTAATGTTTACCCTCCACTGTACATATAGGAGACTACACTGCTTTACTTTTAAAAGGCTGGATGGATTCACTCCCATGATAATCGGCCAGAATACAGAATAATTAAGTGATAAGTGCCACTACATACTGTATCAGTCCTTAATTAAAGTGAAAAACTGTTACACCGTCAGAATCTGTTTGCTCAGGATGTGTTGAAATGCTGGAGGAGGTCCATACTGAAATAATGCTGCATAAAATTAGGATTTATGGTAGAAGACAAAAAGTTTAGGAGCTAGACAACACCTGTAGCTATGAAGTCATCTTGTGTTGAAATGAACTGCTGGAACAAAAATGGGCTACATACATTGACTGCAGTTTCTGATGCAATATCACCAGCAACCCCAGCATTATTTTCAAATGCAGGTGTTCAGTCCAATGCTGTCCTTTTAATAGCTCACAAGTGTGTGTATGTAAGGCAAAGAATATAACTACCATGAGCAAATAAGTCTCGCACTAGTTGTGTTTAGCGTTGCTTTAATTTTAAGCACATCACAGCATCAAATATCGATTTGCAGACCCTATGTATTTTGAAAAGATTACAACTACAGACATGCGAATAGACAAAAACAAAAAGGCCTCTAAAGAACAATGAACATATATCGAAGGACATTTCATTTGTTATAATATAAACTGTAACAGGACAGTTGGGAGTTTTAATTGGTGGGGCTGACTGTGACTGCTGAGGGAGACTGAAACCAGAGGTAAATAATTAAACCTAAAAGGCAAATCATCACCATAACAATGCAGAAAACTCACTTATTTCCTATGATACCCCCAAGCAACCTAAATGTTAATTTATGTTTCTTCCCCCTACAAGCATACCTCTGGGACAGTTGTGGAGTTAAAGCCAACACACTGGTTTTGCTTTAAGGACGAGGTCAAGTTGGAGACCTGAGCAGGGAAGTGGTACAGTGTTCACATAGTCCTGGACTAAAACAAGCATGCACATGCACTATAAATAAGGTAGAGTGTCTTCAAACTGCTGCCGACCTTAACAGCAATATGCTTACTGTTTTGAGATATCCTGTTGACCAACAAACTAACGATGACTCCGTGACAGAGGCTAAGGGCTTTCCTCAGTGATCAGTGTCAACTTCCACATGCAAACACTCTTCAAGCTACACTGCCCTAACATACAAATGACTTCCTTTTATCAATGATATAACTGTGCTTGTACATGTATATAAGTTCAGCTCAGTAATACTGCACAGACTGCCAACAATGACTTGAACATATCAAAAAGCATGAAACACATCTGAATGAAACAAGTGACTTCATGAAGAATATCAATTTTAAATAAAAATAGCATATGGGTATATGAAACAGCATTAGATATATGCATTGGTAATATATAGCCCAACATAATCTATAAATGCCACGTTAAATATCAGACAAGTAATGGCTATACTGTAGCTATGATTTCAGGTTATCAGAATATCAAGTACGTAATGAAGTTAAGGTGAAATCCTATCAAACATTTCAAATGTTAACTGAATTGGAGAAGTCATAATTCAGTATGTAAAATAAAAACAACATTCATTATGCTACATGTGCTGTACTGTTTACTTTGACTACACTCCTGGGTAACAGTTTTTATAATTAGTGAAACAACATTTAAACATTTATGTCAGACAGTTGATGCATTAAGTCAAACTGCTCATTAAAATTTTTTCCCAGATGTTAAGAATGTGTGTATTCAACCTACAACCCTATATCACTAATACAAATGGCATTTTTCTGCAAGAATGCAAGATAACGGTTGCTAAGAGTCCCCATGGAGATCAAATTAAAACTCATAGCCTACCAGATGCTGCAAAGTGATCCCCTCGAGTTTCTGCCTTGACCTGCTCCCCTTGGGGCCACGGATGGCTGCAGGCAGAGGCCACAAATTTACCTATGAATCTTGCGACTGATACAAAATGCAGCGACCCTTCAAAATGTTAATCCGAGCTCGCAGCGCAAGACCTCAGAACAACAAATACATAAAACACCCTTATTGATTGATATGTTCAAAAATGGGTGGCAACAGCAAATCTGTCTGATGTCTGCAAGACTAGCTCCCCTTAGATGAAACCTACCTAATTAGGTTTTCCTGTCAATGTCAGAAAAGACAGAACATTCACAGACAGTTATCCACATATAGAGTATAAAGCTACTGTAGGAAATTTTGGAACCTGCTTGCTTTGCAATCTTAACAGGTTAAAAAATATTTTCTTGTGAATACAACAATAAAAAAAGTATCCTGAAAAGATACTGCACCGCAGATAAGGACTGGAGTTCAGAAAGTTGGCCTCTTTTCAGAATTCAGTGATAGTCAGTTCCCCTGTTCTGTCAGCTACAAAGCCAGTTTTGTTCCTAAATACAATGGCTGTAATTTTCTCTCTTGCACATACATGAACTCAGTCTGAAAAGTGGAGCAGTGAGGGAAGTGATGCATTTTCTCGGTTGCATTTTGTCTTATAAAGCTGCCTACATGTTTTTGTAAATGACTACAGCTTAATAGACATGAAATAGACGGATTTCAGATTTCATGTAATTGTTTACCTAAAAACAAAGTCCTTGCACTAACATTTTCCAAATCATTACCTGGGAATATGACAAAGGGATCAGTGCCAGAATTGCCTTAATGCTGTAAGTACTCTGAGGTACCACCAGAGGGGTACCTCAGAGTACAGAAAATACAGATCAGCAGCTGCTTAATTTCCCCTGAAAGTTAATTCCACTGAGAAAATTCCACAACTCTACAACAAAGTGGCATTAAGGTCTGAAAGCTTACAATATTCATGACATTGAAATATTCAAAAAAAGGTCCATTTTATTATGAATGAGCCTTTCATTGCCTTTTAACCAGTCCACAATAGGAGTGGGAATCCAAATATCCCAAAATTATTTCTTTAATACTCACCTTTGTGAGGCCTCGTGTGAGTCTGATGGTCTCCACACATGGATATACCACTGTTGTATTACTTGATGTAAATGAAGAATTCTCCTCTTTGCTTGAAATGTTATTTCACTTGAAAATGACTGAAAGGAGAAGACTGCTCAGAGTTTACATTATAATCCATGTGAAAATGCTGCAGTGGGTACAACATGTAGAGCTGAACCTCTCATTTTCATCGTTTCTGTAGCTCACATTGACAAATACTGTACTTTTGCTCTAAACATAGACTCAAAAACGTTTGAAATCTTTGTGAAAAACTATACATCCAAAAAACTTGTAATTATGTTATTAGTATAAGCACAGATATCTAAAAAGTGATATCATTTAAACATTCATAAAAACAAAATTCTTAAAAAGGTGTTATATTTTATATATTGATGAGATAAAGGCTTCACAAATCAAATTATATATCCAATGGTTTTGTTTTGTTTTTATAGGAAAGTGCATGTGCTGTTAAATGTCCAAGTGAGAAACTAAACTCCATTTTATTCACATCACATGCCTTCACTGGCTGTTGCAATTTATGTTTTTTTTATTTAAATCATTCTCCATTCTATATGCCTTTAATGTTCATAGAAAAATGTTTGCAAAAAGGTGTATTGCTATTGTTCATTTGACAGTTTTGTTCATATATACTAATTATTTTATTATAAAACAGTTTAGAAAAGGGGCTCCCAAAAACTACAAAGTAATGGGAGGCCATTTAAACAGAGGACTGAGTGAGATGTTCACATAAGCCATCTTTACATTCTCTGTCATTAGTGTGGTTGTGTGCTAAAGGGGAGGTAAAACTGGTTTTATCCTTGCCTTTTCCCCCCTTTGTCCATTTTATTCCAGTAGTTAATTAATTGGTGACTTTTTTGTATACACTTCTAGATGCCTGATTACATGCAGGAAGCTGACAGTTGTACTTCCTTGTAACATCCTATAACAATGTCTGCTTGGTTATTTGGGATTTCAGCACTGCTGAAAGTTTCATCATTTGTACCTGATGAAGAGCCAATGTGGGCTTGAAACATTGTAAAGAGAAATACTAAGATCAGCCATAACATTATGACCACTTGTCTAATACTGCAGCAGTTGCTTGGCACGTATGTCACTCTGAGACTCAGTGCATTTTGAGTAAATCTGTTTGGTTCCATAGCTATACTGTCTGAAAGCACAAATTAGTCATCATTTAGTCATAAGAACATGCTAAAGGAGTGCAAACTGGTCATGAGAAATCGGAGAGAATTTTTTAGACAAATTCAACCTTTTCCTCAGATCCTTCATCTGAAGTGTCCAATCACCAACTGATAAAGGGGCATGTCGGTTCACAAAAAAACCCCATGAAGGACGGTCTCGTGTATCCTTAGTCATGGCTGCTCCAGCACCATCCTCAGAGCAGATATAAGAGACTTAGAATGTCCTACATTCTTGGTCAACCAGACGTAGGAATGATCTTTCAAGAGACATGAGATGGATCCACTCAGTGTTATTCACTTCCCTTGTCAATAGTCATAATGTTTGGCTGATCAGTGCATTTTCAAAAGAGAGCATTTTAGAGAGCTACGAGTAC